TTTGACCAGGATGGTCTTGATCTCTTGACCTCGTGATCCACCCGCCTCGGCCTCCCAAAGTGCTGGGATTACAGGCGTGAGCCACCGCGCCTGGCAGCAATTTCTAATAGTATGTTCAACTACAGAAATTAGTTATGCTTTTCTTGCCTCATTTTGATAAACTAATTTTCACAGGAGTGCTGCCATAAAACTTAGCATATCTATTTGTAGATGGTCAGAGAGGCAAACACAGAGGGAACCTCTCTCTCTTACAACCTTCAAAATTATTGAACACATACTATTGTCTGAAATTCTGCTGAGCAATTCATATACCTATCTAGTTTAATCCCCATAACAACTCTAAGAGGTTGAGAATTATTATTGTCCCCTCACTTTGAATGTGAGGTTAAAGAAACTAAGATTTAGGATCTTGCTGGTGCTCACAAGGTTAGTAAGTGGCAGAGGTTGGGTTTGAATCCAGATCTGACTTAAAAGTAGACCAAGATACTAATGCTAACTGCCTCCTAAATGGTTTTTTGTTTGTTTGTTTGTTTGTTTTGTTTTTTGAGACAGAGTCTCGCTTGTCACCCAAGCTGGAGTGCAGTGGCAAGATCTCAGCTCAGTGCAACCTCCGCCTCCTGGGTTCAGGCAATTCTCCTGCCTCAGCCTCCTGAGTAGCTGGGATTACAGGCACGCACCACCATGCCCAGCTAATTTTCCTATTTTTAGTGGAGACAGGGTTTGTGCATGTTGGTCAGGCTGGTCTCAAACTCCTGACCTCAGGTGATCTGCCTGCCTCGGCCTCCCAAAGTGCTGGGATTATAGGCGTGAGCCACCATGCCAGGCCTGTTATCTACCTTTTTTACCGCTTTGCTCTCCCATGGTTTTTTTTCTTTCTTTCTTTTAAGACAAAGTCTCTCTCTGTCACCCAGGCTGGAGTGCAGTGACGTGATCTCGGCTCACTGCAACCTCTGCCTCCTGGGTTGAAGCGATTCTCCTGCCTCAACCTCCTGAGTAGCTGGGATTACAGGTGTGCACCACCATGCCCGGCTAATTTTTGTATTTTTGGTAGAGACGAGGTTTCACCACGTCGGTCAGGCTGGTCTCAAACTCCTGAGCTCATGATCCACCCACCACAGCCTCCTAAAGTGCTGGAATTACAGGCATGAGCCACCACACCCGGCCTCTCCCATGGGTTTTAAGCAGTGCCTGTGGATGGCATGGGTGCCACTGCTCAGGTCTAGGACATGGACAGACAGGGGTGAGTGATGAATGCATGTGAGCTAATGAAGGCGTGTAAAGAAGGAAGTAGAACGGACGCTGGCTAGTGCTCCACTGGACCCCATTCTGCCTTTGTGTGGGATGAAGTCCTATGGACTATCAGTTACTTTGTGCTAGGTACCATGCCAAATGCTTTAACTGAATACCACCTCATTTGATATAACAGAGACTCATTTATTCATTCAAGAGATATTACAAAATAGGCCAAGCACAGTGGCTCACACCTATAATCCCAGCACTTTATTAAGGTCAGATGTAGGCAAGGCAGCCAGATCACTTGAGGCCAGGAGTTTGAGACCAGTCTGGGCAACATGGACAAACCCTGTCTCAGTAAATA